CAGCCCGGGAAGCGCCGTGCGGCCCCGGGGACCCGGCGGGCTCGTTTCCCGGCCGCGGCGGCCGGAGAACTAACTTGTGCCGGCGCCCGGGCGCGGAGCTCCTCGGGGACGCATCCGTCAGCCGCCCGGGCGCGAGCGTTCGCGCTGACACCGCCTGGCTTTGGAGGGTTTAGTCGGGCGTCTCGGAGCATTAGTTACCGCGAGCCGCGGCCACTGCGGCTGCACCGGCTGCACGGACCCCGCAGTTGCCTGGGCGAACCGGCCTCGGCCCCTGACCGGACCCGCTGCTCCTGGCGCGGACTCTGGCGGCCCCTCCTTACTCCCTGAGCCTGGACACTGCCCCCGAGGCTGGCCGCCGGTGGAGGAGGGGTGTGCGGGGCTCAGGGTCTTGGAGAGGCTGAGGAGCCCCGGGGGAGTCTCTGTAGTAAAGTGCCTTTTGCGAATGTGGTCATCGTTGCATCTGTGTGATCTTTATTAACTTTTCTCCTGGAAAGTTACCATGAGGAAGTTGAATGAAGAGGCTTGTGGCATCTTTTCGACAGTAACAGTCCTAGGAGGAGGTCTCCTTAGGAGTTCTGGGCCGTGTCACAAGTTAACCTGTACGTTTCAGTGTGTAAAAATCTGTAGTACAATCCATTTGTAATATCTAGAGTGGATTCCCATCCAAGTAAACTAAACAGATGCAAAAAAAGATGAGAGTGTTGGCAGTTTTAAGCATCTCAGACCTCATGGAATGTGGTGACCTTTTAATAATTTTATTCTGAAGATGATTTAGTGATTGACAAAGGGAAACCAGATGTTGCAGTTGTCTGAAAATAGATTTAGACCATCAGATGGTCTTTTATATAGTGCTAAAGATGTTAGCCCCCATTTTCTGGGAGTGAAATTGAAAATGAAGAAACTATTCAAGATGTGCAGTAGTGCTGATGTGGTTGGTTGGTTGGTTGCTTCGTGACAGGGTCTCACTATGTAACCCAGGCAGGCCTCCAGTTCACAGGCAGTCCTCCTGCCTCAGCTTCCTGAGTGGTGGGATTACAAGTGTACACTACCAAGCCTGGCTCTGATGGGTTTTATGTATGTATGTATTGACCTTTTTTGAGACAGGGTCTCAGTATGCAGTTCAGGCTGGCCTTGAGCATACTTTCTAGCCCAGGCTGGTCTCGAACTCCCAATGATCCTCCTACCTCACCCTCCTGAGTGCTGGGATTACAGGCTTGCGCCACCACACCCGGCTCTGATGGGTTTTAAAGAAGTGGTGGAACTGGAATATTGTGCCACACAAATATTTTATTAGTGCTTATTTTTAATACACTTTATTGCCCTAATAACTGAGGTGGTGATAGCTTATTTTGGTTAAACTTACTCGATAGTTTGTCCGCAGATCCAGTATAATTTCAGTTGTTTGCCAAAGATAAACTTTTAAGATTTACCAACATAATTAACATTAAAAAGAATACATAGATATTAGGAGAGCAAAAACTTTTTATTAGTTTTTCAGGCAAATAATGAAAGCAATTTCAAGTGTAGTTTGTAAATTGTAAGTGTAAATAAGAAACTATTTCCTCCTTTTAATAAAAGCTACCGTGAGAGCTGAGATCCAGCACTAGAAAGCCATCTCCTTTAGGGAGGATTCTGACCACATAGTCAGATGAGAACTCCTGACTTTCCCCTCCGCCCTGTGGTTCATTTTTTTTGGTTATGATCGCGCACAGTTCCATCCATTATGAGAATCCTGCTTCTCTTTGAAGCTGATCCACACACGAACTTTTCTGGATCCCTTTAAATAACCTGAGATAGAATAGAACAATCCAGTTTACCAAATATAGGTTCTGCCTGTACTCTGGGAGGTTTGAATTTCAGGCGCTGTCCATCTGTGGCACTTTTTTAGAGCATTCCACACTTTAAAATTCTGACTCCCTGGTCTTCCTTTACCTGGATTGTTTGTTTTAGATCTGCCCATGTGTGAAATCAAGGCAGAGTAAACTTGTTTCTTGTCTCTTTTCTGTCTCAGCCTCTCTGCCTTTTCTTGAGGTGAATGATGTGAAAAATGACCTTACTGTACCAAACATACTTTGTTGTGTGATTTTGTTCATTGACTTGTCCAAACACTTTTAAGTGCCTGTTGTGTGTCAGGTATGGTCCTGGTTGTTAAGGAAACACTCCTTGGCCTTAACCTAATGGTGGTCTACTGAGAGTAACACCCATTAATCAAGCTTACACAAACATAAGTAAAAATTGTGCTATGTGCTGTGAAGGAAGACCATGGAGGGTGGAGGGAGGAAAATGGAGGTACGTACTTGGTCATAAAAACCTTACCTGAAGAAATGACTTTTGAGTTGAAATCTAAAAATCCAAAGAAGAGTGGTTTGCTCTGTAAGTGGGAGGAGTAGTGTGTACACAGATCCTGAGGCAGGTGGAGAGAGGATGGGTGAAGTGAGGGGCGGAGGAAGACCAGTGCAGTGGGAACATGGCGAGTGAGAGAAGGGGAATGACAGTGTAAAGGCAGGAATGGGTCGTGGAGACAGCTAGGGATTTAAATCTTAACAGCAACAAGAAGCCATTGAAGGTGTTTTAATAGGAGGGAGGCATAATCATATTTGTGTTTTGAAAAGGCCACTCAAACTGCCTGCAAGAAGTATGTATTAACTTCGTGAAGTGGTGGTATCTTGAATTTTTTTGAACTCTGGATAGTAGGAGTCCTTGGAGACGGTAGTAATTCTGATATGGTGTAATAGTTACAATAATTCAGGTGACACCTGCCAGTTTTTGGTTGGCCTGGTAGTGGAGAAGAAAGTAAATTGATTTCAGTTTCCTATCACCTTGTCTGAAATTCCTTATTACCTGTATTTATGTGTTATTTTGTAAATGTGTTTGTTAATATGTTTTAGTTTTTTAATCTTCAAAATGAAAAAAAGATGCAAAAGCATTCAGATTTGGTGATCAACTATGGGATGTCTAGGATGGTAGATTATTCTTTACATTATGAAAAGCTATGAAAATATTTATACGCCCTGTTGTATTTATGGTTAATGAGAAGGCTTTGTAAAGCCTTTATCTTCTCGATAACTTAAGGTCCCTAGTTTTTTAGACCATCTGTTTAGACTTACAAAGTGCAGAAAATCCTTAAATTATGTATGTCTCAGACTGAACACTATTTTCCCCTGATTTTATCCCTCTGAGAGTATGTGAAGTTCAGTTGTAGGCTCTGAAAATAAAGGTTTGTAATAGAAACTTTGATGAATCTTTTGCTTCAGTGATCCTACTAAAACACTCAGTCCTGGTGAGATGCATGTATAAACCAATGATCCTCTGTACACACGTGCTTTGCCAAAGCATCACCTAAGTTCAGGGCGTACATGATAAGACTAATTCAGGAACTACTCCTAGGCCAAGAAGTTTTATGTGATAAGCAAGCTGACCGGTTTGGAATGAATATAGTTTTAATGAGGAATAGTGGCTGACTGATAATGCTCTCACAGCCAAATTCCAACTTCTCAAAGTCATTTCATCTCAATGACTGTTGGTTGTAACTTGAAAATTCTGCTCTTGACCATGAGAGTTTATTTCAAATGGAAACTTCATTTGTAAGATTAGGGATGGAGCTGTCACTTAACAAGAGTGTAATGTGTCAAGTGTTCATTGTCCTCTAGTTCCCTGGGCTATCCGCTTCAGTATGATTTTTGTTTGCTGCTTCCCAGTCTCCCACCCCAGCCCTCATATCATCATCATCATCGTCATCACCATCATCATCAAAAGTCCTACATCACTAACTCTAAGAAAGTTGGTTTTATAGACCTGAAATTAATGCAAAGTTTTGTGGATGTGCACTTTTTTTCTGGGTTGAGAATTTGAAGCTTTCTTGTTTCCTAGAGGTTCCTGTACATTAAACAAGGCTTTGACCATCACCTGGGTCCTTTGGAGGCAGAGTTCATGTGTCCTCCTCGTAGGATATCTCTTCTTTTCTCTTAGGTGCTGCGTTTGTGGAAGGCACATATTAAATTTTTT